GTTTTAAAATAATACACAAGATTGTAATTCCAATTTTCTGCACCTAATTGTAGCCAGCTAACAGCTGGTAGCTCCAGTAGCTAGCTAGCCCTCTTCATGTTGTTCATTCATACACTCCATGGAAAACGCGTCCCGTTACCAGGCAACGACTGCCAGTTCTCTGGGTTCGCGCGGGTGGGGCATGACTATGATGACTTGAGCCTGCCCTGGGACAAAATTACTTTAATACGTTTCAAACTAACTTCACCTTGTATTGTCAACATTTTTGCAACATTATCAATATGCACTCATTGTAGCTTAGAAAGATCGTTTTTTTACCGTGGTAAAAAGGGTTGATTTGATATTCAATATTCGCCGGACATTCGGACGTTCAAAGTTATAGACCTCAGGTTAGGCGCTTTATGAAGGAAAAAAAGTGTACAACATTGCTCAGGTCTTGTTTTCGATTCTGAACCGAGCTTCTTATCACATGGCTACGGTGTAGGCAGCCTACAGCACGGTCGATGGCAACTATACTGAACAAAAATATTAACACAACATGCAACAATTTCACTGAGTTACAGTTCATTTAAGGAAATCAGTCAATTGAAATAAATTCATGAGGCCCTAATCTATGGATTTCACATGACTGGGAATACAGATATGCATCTGTTGGTCCACAGACACCTTATAAGAAAAGGTAGGGGCGTGGATCATAAAACAAAGTAAGTTTCTGGTGTGACCACCATTTGCCTCATGCCAGCTGTAACACATCTCCTTTGCATAGAGTTGATCAGGATGTTGATTGTCGCAGTGGCCGATGTGAGTAAGACGTTTTAAGCGTGTTAACCCTCGCAATCAATGATTGTTCTCAGTCAGTGGCCACACCCAGATGAGCACAAACATGATGGAATGCCCCTTTTACCCCGAGTGCATAAAAAGCCTTGTGACGAAATTCACCTCAGACCAGCAGACGTGAAGCATGAGTATAACGTTGCAAATGGTTAAATTTCTACCAGACCAGTAAGCCCCACGGCTTAAAATGGTTGACACTCTAAAAGACCTGCAGACCTGAAGCGTGAGCTAAACGTTGCAAATGGAGAAACTCTGAAACTCTCAACCTCTACATGAGGTGAAGAAGAAGACAATGCACTAGACCTTATCATTTCAGGCTTGCTGCTGGCATGTATAGTGGTCTAGAGAACTTCACTAAAGACAAGAGAGAGGAGAGGGACAATCCTCTCAGGACAACCGCTGGTACATCTGAAGTATCCATTCTAACCACAACTACGACCAGAAACTCTACGAAGGACATTGAGATCTCTGGTGGGATAACCAGAGTCCTACATCATCAACTCAACTATCGAGGACAGCAACACGTAAATACATGTTGCATTTCTATTCCGAATGAGCGATTATTAGGGTGCATAAGTATTATGATTACTGTGAGCGTAGTTTCCAAAGTAACTACGATAATTTGAATCTCTCTCTCCCTTCCATTCTGACCCCTCCACTACCCAAGCATTCATGCTAATGTTAGTCCAGTCCACTAGGGACCTGTTTTCATTTGTATTACGCTAGTAATCAATAACCTACGTGTGTTTTTATTGTGTTATTATTTAGTTGGTTAGTAAATAAATAATTAAGCCAATTTGTTTATTGCTGATTCATCAATAAGGTAAGGGTTCTTGCATGTTCAAGGATTATGCAACATTCAGAATGAGACTGATAAGAGGTGATTCTTTGATAAGTGACTTATTGATATATATATATATATATTCTAAGAGTTTAATTCAGGAGATGGTAACTTGTTAAACAACTTATTCTGTGGTGCCCCTAATGAGTTAATTGTTACATGATTAATTTAATCAACTGACAATTCAACATAGTTAGGTGATTCGATAAATAACAGTCATACATTAAAGTAAGTCACGTCACAACACATGACTGCGTGGCCACGCACGCCTCCAACTCAATCATTAAGTTTGCAGACGACACAACAGTAGTAGGCCTGATTACCAACAATGACGAGACAGCCTACAGGGAGGAGGTGAGGGCCCTGGGAGAGTGGTGCCAGGAAAATTACCTCTCACTCAACGTCAACAAAACAAAGGAGCTGATCGTGGACTTCAGGAAACAGCAGAGGAAGCATGCCCCTATCCACATCGACAGGACTGCAGTGGAGAAGGTGGAAAGCTTAAAGTTCCTCGGTGTACACATCACTAACGATCTGAAATGGTCCACCCACACAGTGTGTGGAGGCTGAATAAATTTGGCTTGGCCCCTAAAACCCTCACAAACTTTACAGATGCACATTGAGAGCATCCTGTCGTGCTGTATCACCGCCTGGTACGGCAACTGCACCGCCCGCAACCGCAGGGCTCTCCAGACTGTTAAATAGCCATCACTAGCCGCCTTCCACCCGGTTACGCAACCCTAAACCTTAGAGGCTGCTGCCCTATATACAGTGGGGAGAACAAGTATTTGATACACTGCCGATTTTGCAGGTTTTCCTACTTACAAAGCATGTAGAGGTCTGTAATCTTTATCATAGGTACACTTCAACTGTGAGAGACGGAATCTAAAACAAAGATCCAGAAAATCACATTGTATGATTTTTAAGTAATTCATTTGCATTTTATTGCATGATATAAGTATTTGATACATCAGAAAAGCAGAACTTAATATTTGGTACAGAAACCTTTGTTTGCAATTACAGAGAGCATACGTTTCCTGTAGGTCTTGACCAGGTTTGCACACACTGCAGCAGGGATTTTGTCCCACTCCTCCATACAGACCTTCTCCAGATCCTTCAGGTTTTGGGGCTGTCGCTGGGCAATACGGACTTTCAGCTCCCTCCAAAGATTTTCTATTGGGTTCAGGTCTGGAGACTGGCTAGGCCACTCCTTGACCTTGAGATGCTTCTTACGGAGCCATTCCTTAGTTGCCCTGGCTGTGTGTTTTCGGGTCGTTGTCATGCTGGAAGACCCAGCCACGACCCATCTTCAATGCTCTTACTGAGGGAAGGAGGTTGTTGGCCAAGATCTCACGATACATGGCCCCATCCATCCTCCCCTCAATACGGTGCAGTCGTCCTGTCCCCCATTGCAGAAAAGCATCCCCAAAGAATGATGTTTCCACCTCCATGCTTCACGGTTGGGATGGTGTTCTTGGGGTTGACCTTCTCCCATTCCTCCTCTGGATCATCCAGATGGTCATTGGCAAACATCAGACGGGCCTGGACATGCGCTGGCTTGAGCAGGGGGACCTTGCGTGCGCTGCAGGATTTTAATCCATGACGGCGTAGTGTGTTACTAATGGTTTTCTTTGAGACTGTGGTCCCAGCTCTCTTCAGGTCATTGACCAGGTCCTGCCGTGTAGTTCTGGGCTGATTCCTCACCTTCCTCATGATCATTGATGCCCCACGAGGTGAGATCTTGCATGGAGCCCCCAGACCGAGGGTGATTGACCGTCATCTTGAACTTCTTCCATTTTCTAATAATTGCACCAACAGTTGTTGCCTTCTCACCAAGCTGCTTGCCTATTGTCCTGTAGCCCATCCCAGCCTTGTGCAGGTCTACAATTTTATCCCTGATGTCCTTACACAGCTCTCTGGTCTTGGCCATTGTGGAGAGGTTGGAGTCTGTTTGATTGAGTGTGTGGACAGGTGTCTTTTATACAGATAACGAGTTCAAACAGGTGCAGTTAATACAGGAAATGAGTGCAGAACAGGAGGGCTTCTTAAAGAAAAACTAACAGGTCTGTGAGAGCCGGAATTCTTACTGGTTGGTAGGTGATCAAATACTTATGTCATGCAATAAAATGCAAATGAATTACTTAAAAATCATACAATGTGATTTTCTGGATTTTTTGTTTTAGATTCCGTCTCACAGTTGAAGTGTACCTATGATAAAAATTACAGACCTCTACATGCTTTGTAAGTAGGAAAACCTGCAAAATCGGCAGTGTATCAAATACTTGTTCTATATCGTGGAGCTCCGCCCCATAGGGGAGCTCTGCTTCTAGTGGTTTACCCTCTGCCCTAAGGCAGCAGCAGCCTGAGACAAAATTATGCACACACCTACAGCCAATAGGAGT